ATTTTGTGGGCTTTGGTGGGTCACTTTCCCGTTGCTCTTGTCCCATTTGACCTAACACAAAAATAAGGACACTAAAAGGCTAGTATCCAAATTTGTCAGAGCTCTAAAAACTTTCATCCACGGAGAACATGTTTCAACCCTCCTTGGGAATAACGACGTTCATCCAAATCCACCTCAAACAATGCCACCACATGCTCATTCAAAAAGGACTTGGTTCCCCATCCACATGTTCCTCATCCCTCCCCGTCATGTTCCCACACACACATGGCCACCCATGCTCTGTACAGCAACTAAATTATTCCATACAAACAATTATTCCACTAAACAACAATTTCCAAACACTGAATAGTAATTGAAGATGTGGATGTAATTACACAAGGAACTAAGTTTGGGGTTGGGGCAGAATCTGGTTGCAGGCAGGCATGGGTATGTAGGAGCTGATTACAAGTGGAACATGTGGGGGTGGGTGGATGGGTGGGCATGTGTGTGAGACCTGATGCATGCAATCCCTGCGGAACATACAGCCTTGGCTTGGGAACAGGCTTTGGAGGACATTTGGAACTGTCCAGGGCCTCATTGGAAAGTGTCTACATGCTCTCTCTTGCTCTCTCTCTGACTATCCATCCATTTGCAGTAGATGATTTTGTGCCTGAGCTAATACTTCATCCAAACAAATCCCAATCAGTTATATCTGGGAATATAGAAGCTGGCATTCTTACTAAAGTGGAAAGAGAAAGAGACCAAGTCTATTGTGATGGATCCAAGGGCAATAAAGGCATTTGAATTAGAATGAGGATAATTTGTTGGGGTTTGTCACCCTATTTTGGAGTGTTGTCCCATGTTTCTTTTGTATTCTTTAAAACTTGCACAGCTTTGCACAACTCAATGTCAAAAGAACATTTTATAACTTGAAGTGAAAAACAAAACGAAACACAACATATATATATATATATATATATATATATATTCTTTTTCTTTTCCTTCTTTCTTATTTTGTCATGCTGGCTTTATGACACGGTGTCCAGAGACATTAAATGTGATGATGTCAAGTATTGTCTTTGATTTTAGAGAGGAGCTTTTGATTTGTAGAATTGGCACAGATGGAATAATGGCATGAAACATCTGTGGTTCTGTTCTGGGCAAAACAGTGGGTTGAAAAGTTGAGGGGTATTTGAATTTTGTTTTAATCCTGTTGAAAGAGTGTCCACTCTCAAGACTTCAATTCATACAGCTGGCAAATGGGTCAACCGTGATGGGCAGGAGGAAAATAATGATTTATCATTTATGAGAATTTTACTAAAAAAATGAAGGCTTTAATTTGGTAATTAGGCTTCTTTATTTAAGCGCTCTTCCCATAATCAAAAGTGTATACCAAAAAAAAAAAAAAAAAAAAAAAAAAACACAATTCAACTTCAATTCTAGTGTGTATTGAATGTTATTTTTCAAAAATGTAGTAAAACATGCTTGCCAACTTCCTTGGATGTAAAACAAACTTACAAAGTACATAAAAATTGCACATGATATACTTGGATGTCCACCATTGAATAGCCATAATAAAAGACACAGTGCCACAAGTTAATAAGAGCTAATAGTTTGGCAAAGAATAAGGAAAACAGTGAGTATTGAATTTGTATTCCTACTTAATACCACAAAAATTTTGCACTCCTTAATGCTCTGTGTATGTGTAAATATATAATACTGCAAATGTGCAAAGAACTGATGATCAGATCAATTAAGTATTAACGAAGCCCTTTTTCAACTATTAATTCTGAATTACATTTTTTTTTTTTTACAATCAAAATACATGTTTTAAATTTACACATATGTATAAAAATATGTATATATATATATATATATATATATACACACACACACACTCCAGTGGCATCAGCACAATGTAATAATTGTACACATAAATAAATAAATAAAAAGACAATAACCAAAACAAACAAACAATAAAATTTCATTGTGTTTAGTTAACTGTGTTCAAAAGTAGAGAAAATTGTTGAGAGATAATATGGAGTGGACCTTTTATTTATTTATTTATTTATACTTTTATCTTATCTTTTCACATATTGAAATATTTCTTTAGTTGATTTATGGTAGTGAATTGCACACCTTTGTAATGATGTACAGATGATGCTTTTAACAAGACAAATATATTCTATTTACTTGTGCCTACTTTCTAATCTTTGGAAATGTCCAAACTCCAAATCATGCATCGTGATTGTTTCAAAAAATAAAAAATGATTAAAATATATGTTTACATGTAAAACTATGTCAAAAGTTATTTTGCGTTGAACAAAAAGAAATAATATTCAATGATCTAAGAAGACATAGAGAAATTATAACCTTGTTTTTGAAAAGCTTCCAAATCAATTTAATAACTTTGTGCAAATGGAACAAGTTAAAATCATGCAATAGAATGTTTTCATTAGTGAGTTGCTATGCACATGCTTTGCATATGCTGGTTGGTACTCTTGAGAGGCACAAAGGATTTTTATTTTTTTATTTTTATTTTTATATTTCTTTTCATTCTTTCTTTAAATGTCTACTTCCTTGTAAGTCAACATGCACTGCTTTTCATAAAGAGGAAATTGAATCTTCCAGTTGTTTTCTGAGGCTTTAAGTGGACGGAAACCATTGTGTTCCCACTGTTTTATGCTGAGCTTGGTCAAGGGCTTGTAATTCCATGCATGAAGTCCACTAATTGTTGTCTTTAGACTTAAAGACCTTGAAGTCGGTCATCTCCAACACAAAGTCTAGACTTTCTATTTATTTATGTGGATGTGTATATACATATACACACACACACACACACATATATATATATATATATATATAATAATAATAATAGTAATACGCAGTGTATTCCTTCAGAGGAGGCAAAGGACAAAGAGGACAAAAAGAATAAATATTCAAAAATCATGGTATTAACAGGTGAGAGAATAAAGTTAGTATACAAAAAGAAGTCAATGATGTATTATTTATTCTTGTTCATTTTTTCAGATATTTCTACGCACATATCTATATATATATATATATACATATATGCGTCTGTGTGTTAAGATATTTTTTTTCTCAAGCAAGTTTTTATTTTATTTTATTTTTTTCATTAAAGATTGAAATGATGGGTTACATAAATTCCAACATATTGGTCTGATATTTGTTACTACATGGTAATACATTATTGTAGGTATTTATTTTATTGTATTTTTCATTTTATGTGTGTTTTTTTCAATAAAAATTAATATCTTGATCAAAGTTATGCATTCTTTGAGTGGAAGAATTTTATGTCAGATCTAAGTTTTCGAATTGGGTTCATGATTGGAATGATACAGTGATTAATGTGATATTCATTCTTTCACACACTGTATATGCATTATTTTCAATTATTTTTGAAATTCATGCATTACAGTTAGTAAATAAAAATAAAAAAAAACTTTTAAATTTTTTAACTAATTGTACATGTAACTAAATCTACACGTTTTTTTTTAATCAATGAAATATGCTCTAATGAGTCATGTCTGTATTAAATTAATAAAAATACTACATGTGTTATTGGTTCATTTTGGTCTAGCTATTACCACCATCATCACCATCCTTATTCTTCTTGTTTCAAACTTTCATATACTTGAAATGCTCGTATATTGTTCCACAATTTTGTTTGTTTGTTTGTTTGTTTGTTTGTTGTTTTCCTTGTGAATTTCATGGCATGGTTCAGAGAGCAATAATTCAGAATAAAATGATTACCTCAAGTAAAGTACCATACCTATTTAGTCTTTCTGAACTCTATTACGACTATATGAAAGAAAAATACACAAATAAAAACACACATACTTTTTTATTATTTTTTATTATTTTTTTTGCACTCTCATATTCATACGTTCCTCCTCACACATTAAAGTAAGGATCAGCTCAAACCCCTAGTATCCAAACAATAACCTACAAGATTCCACACACATTGAGAATACCAAGAAACACCAAAACAAAACCTGGGGATGTAAAGAATTTGAACACACATGAGAGACCAGAACAAGTCCTGGAATGAGGTGGGTCCAAGAGGCAGTATCAGAACGGAAGGGCACTATCAGAACAGAAGCGAGCAAGCAAGCAAGCAAGCAAGCAAGCAAACTAGCGAAGAGGCCATGGAAAGCAGAAGAAGACATTGAAATGCTAGTTTTGTTGTTGTTGTTGTTGTTGTTGTTGCATCTGGTCCGATGGCAATGGGCTGAAGCTGTGGATGCCCATCACGTGTGAGGTCTGCGATTAGGAGGGTGGGAATTACACCACCATGCTGCGAGACGATGGCAGGCAAGGGAGCAGAATGAGGCTGGAATGGGGCTTTCACTGGCACCACTGCAGAACTGGACTGTGCAACGCCGTGACAAGTCGCTCGAATGGCCTTTGCAGAAGGGGCGTCGAAGACCGGGATCCTGAAGGCGCAGACCAGGTTTGCATTCGGGAGGAATCGCATCGCATCTCAACTCCTCACATCGCATTCCAACACACCCCCCCGCGGGAGGTGCGCATAGGGGCTCGTGGTGGGGGCCAGGATATAATGGGTCCCACCTTCGTCGGCGGTCGGTTGCGCAGGGGTTGATTGCCGCAGAGGCGGTGTGCAAATAGGGAAGGGAGTAAGGAGCAAAGTTACGAGGTGTTGAAAGAGCTGAGCAACGGGAATGATTGGATCATAATCCTGGGCAGTTACCACGCAGTGGGGGCGGTTTTGGCCGCCGCACCCATGCAATTCCTCTGATCACCTGCTTTGGGTTCCGCTGCCCCTGGGAAATCGGACGCAAATCCAAATAATGCAGCCCCCGCAGCGCCAGGTCAGGCAAGGCCAGGCCAGGCTAGACCTCGCCAGGCAAGCCGCATTATGAGTGGGGCCGGGTAGCGCCTGTCGTCTCTCCGTCCGTCGATCATCCCTCGTCACCCCCCCTCCCCCCCCTCGCTTTGCTAGCCTTGCATGAATGATTCACGCGTATAATTATATGAGCTCCAGCCTCACCGCTCATTCACCGTGGGCCGCTGCTTATTACCTCCTCTACGATCTTTGCTTTGGGGTGCTGCCTCTGCTGGTTGATCGTATGTGGAAGACTGGCACTGGAGAAGTCGCTGTTGCGAGCTCTAGATTGACCATTTTCTCTGCACAGGGTACAATCAGATTCGGCTTGTGGAGTCTCGCAGTTGTCAGTGGCCTGTGTGAGGGTGAAGTTCCAGCTGCTGGGTTGTGCAGGTGCTAGCATTGGGTACACGCGCCTCCCAATCGGATTGCTGCAAACAGCAAGAGGGAAGGATCTACACATTGCGAAGGTGTGTATGTGAAACGCAGGAGATATGAGTGGGTTCAGGACTTTTGCTACGACTTTGAGTGCTTCAGGGTGACTGGAAGATATGCGTTGTTACCAGCATTGCAGATGGTGATCATACCCAGTTGAGTGTGGGCGAATAAAGAGGGCTGAGATCATCAGCTTGTAGAGGCTTTGTGTGTGCGGCGATTCTTAATCTGTTCCAACGAAATGGCGGATAGCTTCAGTGAAGGGACGTTTCCGGTCCTGGTTGACCAACTGATCAACCTTTGGTTGAGCGTGAGGGGTCCCATCGTGGCCCCTATTCTCCAATTCGCCATCAATGTTTGCCTAGTGATGGTGACAATGCTTTTCATCGAAAGGATTTTCATGTGCGGAGTGATGATTTTCGTGAAGCTGCTCGGGCGCACACCCGAGACCCAATTCAAATTCGAGCCCATTGGAGATGATTTGGAGCTTGCTAATACGGCGTTTCCTATGGTGCTGGTGCAGATTCCTATGTTTAACGAGCGTGAGGTGGAATTTTTCACCGAAAATCAGTTCACCTGTTCGTCGTTTGAATTGCATGGAATTGTTTCTGGTAGCACAAGATGATCTGGTTGTGTTGTTGATGAACCGTAAGTTGACCGGTTGTATCATTGTTCTCTTCAGGTGTACCAACTGTCCATACAGGCGGCGTGTGGATTGTCATGGCCTGGAGACCGGATGATCATTCAAGTTCTGGATGATTCTACGGATCAGACCATCAGGGTACACGACGCTCTTCTTTCCCCTCGACATGTCGTGACATCGCCACACAGTGTTTGACTATACTTGTAGTGTTGCGATTAGGAACCTTCTTGTAACTAGCATCTGTGAGTGCCAGAGCTCCGCTAAACAGATGATTGACTGCAGCGATTGAGCCATGTCTTAGCATCTCTACCAGGTCTCCATTTGAAACCCTTCAGCGTAATGGCTGCTGTGACTAAATCAAACGAGAAACTTGGCTTTTTCGTTCACAGGAACTCGTGCAGATGGAATGCCAGCGATGGGCCAGTAAAGGCATCAATATTAAGTATGAGACTCGCCCCAACCGAAAAGGGTACAAAGCCGGAGCGCTGCGACAGGGCATGAAGCATCCGTATGTGAGCATGTGCGACTACGTGGCTATTTTCGATGCCGACTTCCAGCCCGAGCCGGAGTTCCTGCACCGCACTGTGCCGTTCCTTGTCCACAACTCGAATCTCGCGCTTGTCCAAGCTCGCTGGAAGTTTGGTACGTAGCACATTACCACCATTGGACCTAATCATAAGTCGGACAGTGATAACTTTCTTGCATGTGACGTCTGTAGAAAAGTGGGGAGGCATGCTTCGCGACGCTGACTGCCAAACCTCTTGGGACACTTTCTGGATGTCCAGTTGGTTCACAGTGTGTTGTGCATCCTTGTGCGAAACTTGACCACTTCGTCTCGAATACTTGTAAAATATACAGTGTTTGAACCACGAGCGACTTCATACAACTATGAATGGGCCCCACAATCCTGTGGAAAGTCAATGTTGTAGAGTTGTATGATCATTGTGAATGAATTCAGTGATTCCTCACAGTATAGATTCATTGAATTAACACCACAACGTGTGTGCACAGTGAATGCCAATGAATGTCTGATGACAAAGATGCAAGAGGTTTCTTTGAACTATCACTTCTCCGTGGAGCAGAGGGTTGGGTCGGCCACTTATGGATTCTTCGGATTCAATGGCACTGCGGGAGTATGGAGAATCCGTGCCATGGAAGAAGCAGGTGGCTGGAACGATCGCACCACTGTTGAAGACATGGACTTGGCAGTGCGTGCCAGTATGTGTGGCTGGAAGTTCGTGTACATCCACGACCTTGAGGTGAAAAATGAACTGCCAAGTACATTCAAGGCGTTCAGGTTCCAACAGCACAGGTGGTCGTGCGGTCCAGCCAATCTTTTCCGCAAGGTGCTCCCATCCATCTTGAAGAACCAGAAGTTGAAATTGTGGAAGAGGTTGCACATGATCTACGCCTTTTTCTTTGTGCGGAAGATTGTGGCTCATATCGTGACCTTCACCTTTTATTGTTTGGTGATCCCTGCCTCGGTGTTGGTCCCCGAGGTCGACCTTCCATTCTGGGGGGCTGTGTACGTTCCGTCGATCATCACTCTGCTCAATGCCATCACCACCCCCAAGTAAGTTACTATTCCTGATGTCACCGATCGATTGCGCGTACCTGATCTCATATGCTGTATTTTAAATTCTACAAAGATTTCGAGGATGCTAACATGCCGTACTTGCATCACACCATGTTCCACTGTGTCACAGGTCACTGCACTTATTGGTTTTCTGGATTCTGTTCGAGAATGTGATGTCGCTGCACCGGACGAAGGCGACGATAATTGGTTTGTTTGACATCGGTAACGTGAATGAGTGGGTGGTGACTGAGAAGCTCGGAAACTTGATGAAGTACAGGTCCGCCAAGTACGGCAAGAAATACACTCTGCAACGCATGGCAAGCAATGTGCTGGCCAGGGGGTGGAGGATGTCTGAGAGGTGCTTATTATTCATGTTTATAACAATTTGTCTAAATTCTTGAGTTTGCTCTCGTAGATTTGACTCCGTTCTCTAGCTAATATCTGATGCATTTAGGTTTGGCGACGTTTATCTCTTCTACATTCGCGAACACTTCTGACGATATGCGGCATTGCAGGATGCACATTTTGGAGTTGTGGACAGGAGGCTTCCTGATGTTCTGCGCAGCATACGATTTTTACTTCCAGGGCAAGAACCATTTCTACGTGTATCTGTTTTTGCAATCTTTCGCATTTATTATCATGGGTCTTGGCTACGTGGGTACTTTCGTCCCACAATATTCATAGATAGATCCAAAACGAGATCGTCGAAACCATATCCAATTTTCCAAGCATCAATCGGGTGTGTGAGGTGTGCTGCACCATGCAGGTGACTAGCTTAGTAGATATAAATTTGTGGGTGGCCCTGCCACGGCAACCCTGTAAGATAAATAGAGCCTTCAATAAAACCACTACCAGAAGTTCAAATGCAAGTCAACTTCTCTGCGTTGAACTCGAATTTAGTTGCCTGCGTTGTGCAGCTGTAAGAGCATTCTTGTAAAGGTTAGTGGATTGAGTTAAGGATGATTCAATCATCTTACTGATACACGTATTGGCAGAGTGGTTAAGGTACTGCTTACACTTGAATCTTCTACAGATATTGGAGGGTAGGTTTCGGACCAGTATTATAGGGTTTTGCAGCTTGTGGAGGAAGCCGCATGTGAAAATGTCAGGGCAACCCCCAAAAAAAAAATTCAAGAAAAAAGAGCGGAACTCACTTGAGAGACCGACCAAATTTGACCAGCTATTCGAGTGCAATACGTCTGACTACAGCACAGAGTGCGTAAGCACTTAAAAATCTCTTATCACCGAAGTGGACTAACCTGGAAGACATCAGCTACAGATCATTGGATACAGCTCATTGGTGGAATTTCTCTGCCAGCCATGGTTTTCATGCTGCACTCACTTCTACAACCTTGTGTACAATTGTTGCAACTTTTGAAAATCCAAGACCATCCCATCAGTGGCACATTGCTACTGCTGCCTCCTTGCAATTGGCAAAAGTGGCAGATGAAGGATAATTATTATGAGAGTGTTGCCAATGTTGAAATGCAGCAGCCCCAATTGCTATGCTACATGTTTGCCTGGTATAAAATCCAATTGAGGCTGTTGGTGTAGATCATGCTAGTCGTTGTCCATATAATGAGAAATTGCACAAATCTTTTCAGAGCTTTTGTTTCTTTATAGATGATTCTGTGCCCGAACTGCAGTGCTTTCCTTGAAAATAGCTTCGATATAATTTTTCAAATGCATTACAGTATACTGTAATGCATTTGAGTGGACCATAAGTTGGGGATCTAACAAGAAGGCCAATTGCGATACTTGAAATGACGTGATGAATTCCTTAGTGTAACATGTAGAATATATGAGCTATTCAACACTAATATCATAAGATTTTGGAATATGGTAGAAAATTTGAACCATGTGAAGGGAGGAGTGATTTTGTTCAAGATTTTTACACTTAGTAATCTTATGTTGTCATTTCTAGACCAAACTTTATAAACATATTAAAAATTTCTTGGTTTTTGTAGAGACAATTTTCAATCATTTTATGTGCCTAATCTTAATATGTTTTATCATATTTTATATACTATAATTCAAATAGTGAGTTTTATTGTTTTAATGGTAAGACTTTTAAGTTTAAAGATTTTTTCATTTAATTTTTCTCCAAACAATCTCAATACAAGTTTCTACAATTAGTAGTTGCAAAACTTTAAATTTTATGATGTTTTTAATTAATTCGTTAAAATTTTAAATAATTTACAAATAGGAGAATAAATCTAAAAGTATTTATAAATAGGAGAATAAAATCAAAATAATCTCAAATAGAGAAACAATATGTTTTTCTTGGATTTAACTGAAATATGGGTCTGATTGTATTTGATAAAGTTATGGTCAAAGTCATGGTCATTATAGAAAAAATTTTCTTCATAGTAATTCATTTGTAAAAAATGAAATTATACATTTTTTTTGAAATTTTATGTATAATAGTTACTATTTCAAGTTTGAAATTGGTAGCTCTTCAAAATGATTCCTTTGTAGATGTGATGTTTCAAAGTCAATTACACAACAATCAACTCTTGAATTTAAATAGTGGTGCATTTTTATTATTCTTCAACAAATATTTTTGTATCAAAGACATGAATTTCAAAGAAAGAGAATTTCAATATACTCTTGTGTTACTCAAAAAGACTAAGAAATCACTCAAAGATGGTAATATATTGAACTACAATAGCTATTACCAAAGATAAGAAGATTAAAAAGTCTTGAAATAAGACTAAAGACTAAAAAAGCATTGATGAGAAGGAAAAAGATTTACTCTTGCCTCTACATATACTATCCAATTGGGAACTATGTATTTGTGACATTATCCTCCCTTTTAGGGACAAATTCAATAAAGAGCAGTCATCATCTTTTATAGCTCTTGCTATTCTTCATCTTGGTTTTGATGGATTTCGTCCATGAAAAGCCTCAACCTTCTTTGTTGCATTTCTAAGTTTATTTATTGGCTCCTATGTGCATTCTTTAATATCATATTTATGCCAATAAATAAGATATTTTAACCTAGTTTGACGTTGCTTTGAATCTAAGACTTCTTCCATTTCAAATTCTTGATTATTATCCACTTCTATAGGAAGAAGTGAGATTTGTCTTCTTTTCAAGATATTCACTGTCTTATGTAGGTCAAATAGAGACATGTGGAATACAAGATGGATCTTTATAGACTCATGTAGATATAATAAATAAGCAAAAAGATTGACTACTTTACAAATAGGAAATGGCCAAGCCTACAATAATCCAATTTATCATAAAAGTGGCTAGTCTTGATATCATGACAAAATAACTATATCTTATTACCAATGTGGAATTAAAATTTCTCCTTGTAATAGGCATCTATATTGGTCTTTTGTCATTTTTGAGCTTTTTATAAAAAATTAATAAAAGGCTTAATTTTTTTTGAATTAGTCTTGAATCTTGTTGCTTGAAAAAATCTAGCAGTTTTTTCCCACTTAGTTTTATTAAAGCAAAAAGAAAAAAAATCAACTTGATGCTAAAATGCCTATCTTAATTTTTTTCAAATACTTACCTTAAATCACAATAGAACCAATTATTTATCTTTAAAGACAATACTTTTAAATTTTGAATAATTTATTTAAGGTAATAATTTTATATTTTAAATTCCATTTAAATTTATAAATATATTAATATTATATTTTTTTTACAAATAAAATTAATTACCATCTAAATATATTTAATATATTTAAATTAAGTATATCATGATATTGATAATTTTTTATTTTAAGAAAATTTTAAGAACCAAGTTTAATTATAAGATCTATGACAAAGACCTTACAATTGTAGATTCATTTTAAAAATGAAATCATTATCTAAAAAGCACCTTGAGTTTAATCATCATATATATGGATCATAAGAACCTTAAGAAATTCATGTCAACACATGTTTTGAATTATTGCCAAGTTCAATTGGGTATATCCTTCAATCTTCTTGGTCACGATATTAAGAATAATTCTTCCAAGTCTCATGATATTTTAAAGTTCAAGTTTAAGTTTAAGAATAATCTATTCTATTTTGAGGGGCAATTATATATTTTAGAAGACATAGGACAATTACATATTCTTTAAGCTTATCATGATTTTCTAACAATTGAACATTTTAGAAACAACAAGACTTTGAAGCTAATATCTAAAGATTTTTGATGGCCTAAAATGTGAAAGGCGGTCAAAGACTTTGTCCAATCATGTGATATTTGTTCAAGATCTAAAATTCCTTATCATCGATCTTATGGATTTTTTCAGCTACTAATAATTTTAAAACAATCTAGGTCATTTGTTTCTATGGATTTTATCATGGATCTTTTAGTCTTATATGTCTTGTTTATTGGCATGGATATGATATTAGTCAATGCACATGGAAGCCAATAAAGAATCTTACAAATGCACCAAAGAGGATTGAAGCTTTTCATCATTGACTTCCATCAAAATAAAGATGAAGAATAGCAAATCTTTGCTATAGATGAAATAAGATTCAAGGAAGAAAGCATTTTACCTTCTATCATTTTTTGTAGCTTGTGTATATTTTTAGTGCTAAAAAAATGGATAATTAATAACTAACAAGTTCAACTCAAGTACTATTATTTGTTGATTTATCAGATGAGACATTGTAACTATTACAACTTTTAAGAGGACGTAATTAAGATAAAAATCCTCAAAAATAACATATCCTTCTTTGAATACATGGCAAGATATAACATATTTGGTATCAGGACCTTAGATAAAATTCTTGATATTTGATGATTTTATTAAAAATAGAAACAAAAGATGATTTTATTTGAAAGGAGTTATGAAGGCTTCAACAACAATCAAATAACAAGGTGATCTTTTTGTCTTGGTATAAGGCACTATTGATGGCTAAGATGACCTATCAACTATCTTCAAAGAAAACAAAGATTAAAATATGTGTCAAATACAATTCTTTGCATCTTAGATTTTTTCAACATATGATGACCACTTCTCATGGAACTTATTTTTAGAAGAGAGAAGAATGTCGCAAACCTACATATTTATTCTAATAATTATCTATATGATTAAATAGAAATAAATAAAAATAGATTAATTTCATAATATCTTTTAAAAAAGATTCTTAGAAGCTTCATTGATATTACTTTGATTTTATATATGTTTATAATTAATTGATAGGTTAAAAACTTGGTCAACAAGTTAGCCATATATTACACATATTAGTAGCTTGTAAAACAAGATAATTATGTGGTGCACATATAAAAAATTTTCCTTACAAATTAAGACATGTATTTAGTAAAGTTAATATATGTTGGAGGTCTTATAAAATATCACCACATAGCTTCTAATTAGATAGTATATATGGAAGTAAGATTGAAACCTCCTTCACTTTTGTTAATGCCTTTCTAATCCTTAGTCTTATTTCAAGATTTTTTAGTCTTTTTTTCTTTGGTAATAGCTATTTTAGTTCAATATATTACCATCTTTGAATGATTTTTAAGTCTTTTTTAGTGACTTAAGAATTTATTAAAGTTTTTTATCTTTAAGATTCATTTTTTTGAGACAAAGCTAAGACTTTGTGATTTTTTTGGTTATAACCAAAGTTTTATTGTGAAACAAGGTTAAAGATTTGAAGAGAGAATATGACTTTTATTAGGTATTATATAAGATTTCAATCTTACAATTCTTATTATAGCTGAAGAAACTTGTTTTTTGACACATTTTCTTCTTTGGTAATTATGCTCCTTATTTTGTGATTGAATTACTTCTTAGGACAATGTTAAGTAGTAGACTTGGATTCTCTACAATATATGCATAAACGTTTTTAACAATGATAAGTTTTTTTTGTTCAAAAAGAAGTTTAAAATATATCATATCAATTTGGGTAGGCTTTGTCTTAAATAAATAAGTCTCTAAAAATATTAAAGGTATTGCCATGGCTTGACTTATAGTTCTCCAACCAAATTTTTGTTTTTGATATCTTTCAAAGAATCAATTATTGTATGCAATGGCTTAAGTAATAAATTACTTCAATAAATCTATTCTTGATATTATCAATAATAAATCTTTGATATTATCTTTCAATTCATATCAAAATTAATTAATAAGAGCTTTATCATTTCAATCCACGTCACAAGGAAGATTTAGAATTTAGTACCATATATAATAGCTAAATGTGATTCTTGTTGTAGTGATATTAATTTAGTCTTTGCTATCCTTTTTTGATTACTTTTTTTAAATGTAGTTATAATTACTTTTAAGAATGAATTCAAATCATAGAGTAGTTATGAATATTTTTCCATCAAAAGTACAAAATAAAAAAAATACTCTTAGAAAGAAAAGTTTTTATGAATCCGACTTAAATAAATCCATCAAAATATTGGAAAAGATGCATTCTTGGATAGAGCTTTACTTATTATTAAAACCTACAAAGTTTTAATCTTATTCTATAATATATTTTTGGCATATTTATCTTAATTTTTCTTATA